ATAGATATTATTTCTATAATAATAATAATAATAATAATAATAAAGTAACGTCATTAAACGTACCTTCTGACACCCACCAACCTTGTTTTTCCTTCTCTTGACAATCCAGATCATTGACCCACGCCATTGACCTCATAGACTAAAAAGCAGTACTAAGAGCACTTGCTTTAGCAGTCGCTCTTTACCACTCTCCCCTGTTTTTTGCCACATTACCTATGAATTCGAGATGTTAACCGAAACCGGCAATAGCGAGTGAATTGCTAAAAGACAAAATTATTAATTAAATAATAAAAGCGTGAAAAATTGTACCTTTAAGAAGAAGAAAAAGCATTCGTGACTTAACGATGAACACTGCTACTTAAAAACAAGTGATGGAATACACTTTGATCCCAAATTCAATACTTTTTTAAAATAGATACTAATTTACTTATTTAACTATTCCTTCCTATAAAAAGAAAAAAACAAAAAGAAAAAGCAAAAACTTTCAAGTCTTCTGCATTTCTGCCGTCCCGCCTCCCCCGCCATGGTCGTCCGCTTTATCATCCGATCGACTTTGGTCTAATTTTCCTCCACCACAATCCAATACTTTTCTCTTTCCTCTTGAAAAAAAACATAACTGAATACCGCCATGAAAGAAGAGAGCACTATATACCTTGTAATTCAAAAAACCTATAGGTGCCTAAGATAATATGTGCCTCCACTGCTGCAACAAGCAAGAGGTGAATAGAGGCCCCTGGTTTCCTGAAACAGATTAAATGCTCATCAAATAAATCACTCCACATGCTATGGTAGCTGAAGTATATATATTTGCCTCCAACAAAGCTAAGCACTCTAACCACTTTCCTCCTCTTTTTTCCATTTTTCCAGATTTTTGTCTGCAAATCTTCACTAGAAATCAATTAGAAGTTATGAAAATTTCGCAATAATGCCTTTCTTGTCTCATCTTTTTCCAATAATTGTCACACAAAAGATGTTAAAAATTTCATCCCTCTATAGATTGTTGAAGAACAAAGGGAAATAGAGAGAAAGAAAGAGAGAAACAAGAAATAATGAAACAAGATATAACGATCAAGAAAGAAAGAAAGCAAGGATGTGTTAGTCCAATTACCAGTGGGACAAGATTTGAAGATCAAATTCTGTTCACTCATATGAAGAATGGAATAGCAAAGAGTAAAGTAGAAATTTCAACCAAAAAAATAATAATAAGTAGAGGAAGATTATGGTATGCTGCACCCACAGTCTCGTAGAAGTTTTGAAACCGGTTTCAATATTTTAAGTTTAAAAGTATAGGGTACGTGGCGAAAGAAAAAGGAGAGTGGGGGAGCGAGTGAAGAAGGGGCAGCTGCTCTTAGCATTCCTCAAACTTCTCTTATAACACAACTGCACATCCTTTTGGTCTTCACTTGAGCACTGAGCTGAAATTCTCGGCCCCCAGACTTTTCAATGGAGGAGATTGGAGAAGATGAAAGAGGAATAAGATCTTCGAGCTTTGTTAACGGGTAAGGCCTAAGCTGTCTGTCCGTGCTCTCAATTCATGCAAAGTTTCCAGTGCATTTTCTTCCCCTGTTTTTCTTTTTCTGTTAAATTATTTCATGATACAGAAAAAAAAAAACAAGAAGCAAGTTTAATTATATAGCATGTTTCTATCACTCTCTAACATGACATAGAATGAAACAAAATATTAGTCATAGCGTAATCGAGATTATCTTTTGAATGAAACAAAATATTTGTCAATACAACTCTTATTCTGTTTTTTCCCTTTTTTCTTTTCTTAAGAAGGGAAATGAGTACAAATTAAAATTAGGGGAAGGGCATCCATGAAACCCGAACACATAACTCATTAGAAGTAATTCAGGTTTAAAGCCAATAGGCTGGGGCGTGGGATCCAACTCTTACTCTGTTATACATATTAGTTATATAAATTTTTCATAATTTATGTTTCTAATTGAGATTTATTATAATTTTTTAAATAAAAATATAATTATTAATAATTTTATGTAAGTATTATATGTAGTAGTACTATGTAAATTATATATGTAAGAGTTTTATGTGACTCGACCTCATATTTAACTATAGACCTTATAACTGTTGTTTTATTTCAGGGTTGTGGATCCTGAAGAGGAAGAAACGTCAGTCTTGAGAAGAGAATCTGCTTTTAACATTCTTAATCCACTGGGTTCATATTCTAAAGTGTGGAAAGGAGTATTTCTACTATCAAGTGCGATTGCGTTATGGTTGGATCCTTTGTTCTTCTATATAATTACAGTGAATGAAGATAAAAAATGCCTTCTCCTGGACAGAAAATTGGGAATTGTAGCAGTTTTTCTGCGTTGTTCCATCGATTTCATCCATATAATATATGTTGCTTGTAGACTTCTTAAAGTGGATGAGGATGCCTGGAAAAACGCAAGAAGATATTTGCTGTCTTGCTTCTTTTTAATTGACATACTTTCAATTCTTCCCCTTCCACAGGTTAGTGACATTATATATATATATATATATATATTGGTTCATTAAGCTTTGCTATTTCTGTCAAGACATTAGATAACAATAAATTAAATTTGCCAATAACCAATTAATGACTGATCGAGATGGTGCTCAAAATTGAAAATAGGACTCTCTCCATTTAAATTTAGTGAGCTTAATTTCTAATTTGCAGCATTTGAATATTCATATACTTTTTTCTTTTAGAAATGGTAATGTGATTATTTTTATTTTAACTTTATTTTAAAAAAATAATTACAAATATATTAAATAAGGTAGTTTATTTAATTAGAGATTAATTAGTGATAAATATAAAATTCTATTAATTAATTATTATATCTTTATTTTATTAAAAAAAAAAACTAAATTTATTGAAGTTAAAGTTGAACAGAGGAAATACTGTAAGAGCAAATCTAACCTAGTCTCCTAAAATAACTTATTTTCATATAATATTCCTTTAAATTTCCTATGATCTATGTAGGTGTTAATTTTAATTACTCCAGCAATAAAAGGCTCGAGAGTTTTGGTCGCCATGGACTTGTTGAAATATTTTGTTATCTCCCAATTTGTACCAAGGATTCTACGGCTCTATCCATTGTATACGAGAGGTAAAGGAGCTTTTGGCGCACTTGCTGAAGCTGCATGGGTCAAAGCTTTACTCAATCTCTTTCTTTACATGCTTGCTAGTCATGTAAGTTAATTAACTCCCACCAACCTTTGCTATTTTTTTCTTTTAATATGTTAAAGCCTCTCAACTCATCCTGAAAATTATAGTCAGTGCTTCTTCATTTTTTATATATGTTTTATCGTAATCAAGTAACTTGCTGGTATTTTAAGGTGATTGGAGCTCTATGGTACTTCTTGGCCATAGAACGAGAAACTAAATGTTGGCGTGAAGCTTGTGGAAATCAGCCTGGATGTGTTAGTGATGCTTTTATATGTGATGTTACTCTTGGAAATCACACATTTCTCAATGATTTATGCCCTATAAGTTCATCCAATACGGAGCAATTTGATTTTGGAATATATCTTTATGCTCTAGAGTCTGGCATTGTGAAGGTGACAAATTTCCTCCAGAAGTTTTTTCATTGTTTTCGGTGGGGTATACAAAATCTGAGGTTTGTTCCATTCCTTACTTCCTATGGCCTCAATCTTGTTCTTGCAATTTGGGAGCACCATCAATTAGTTAACATTCGGACAATGTCTCACTCACATATAATCATTCTTGTTGCTTGTTTTCCTAGCAATTCCTTGATACTGTACAAAGAGATCAAGACACATTCACACAGCTAGCCATTAACAGCTGGAGTACCTTTGCAAACCATTAGATTTTATAGCTATAGAAATACCCTTTTGAGTTTACTTATAACTATAATAATAGGGCCCAAAGATTGCTTTACGCTTGACCAATTTTTGTTATGTGAATATCCCCTTTGTTCCTGGCATGGTATGCAACTCTAGACTCTATTTTACGTGTATAGGCAGTCAAAGATGCTAAGAAGACAAGTTGTTATGAGTGGCTTTCTTGAAGTCTTATCTTTTTGGTCTTGGATGCAATTCTTGCAGTTCATGTGGCCAAAATCTACAAACAAGTGTATATATCTGGGAGAACGTCTTTGCATTGTTCATTACAATATCTGGCTTGTTGTCCCTCTTACTACTCATTGGAAATGTGCAGGTAGATATTCTAATTTGTCTACTCTTCGCTTCTAGCTTTTGTGTAAACTTTCATAAGACATAATTTCTTTAGCATGCACATATTCCAGGGGTTGGTAATGTAAAGTTAACGCATTTTTGGGATAGATTTTTCTGCAGTCAAAAACAATGAGACAGGAGAACAAGCGATTGAAACAATTAGAGGAGTTAGAGGAAATAATTCACAAATTAAAATCGTTTGAAAAGCTTACTGGTAAACTCCAGAAAAAGGTTAGAAAAAATCTGAAGTGCAAACCTGAAGAGCTTGATTTAGAGAAACTGTTCCAAGGTCTTCCACAGAAATTGATGACAAAAATCAAAACAGAACTTTGTTTTGACCTACTCTATAAAGTAAGTTCCTT